CTTAACAATTATCAGTAACAGATACACGGTTATACTCTGGATGTTACACCGACCAGTCTTATATAACAATTATCATTAACAGGGACAGCGTTGTACTCCGGATGTTACTCAAACCAGTCTTATTTAACAATTATCAGTAACAGGGACAGAGTTGTACTCTGGATGTTACACCGACCAGTCTTATTTAACAATTATCAGTAACAGGGACAGAGTTGTACTCTGGATGTTACACCGACCAGTCTTATATAACAATTAACAGTAACAGGGACAGAGTTGTACTCCGGATGTTACATTGACCAGTCTTACTTAACAATTATCAGTAACAGGTACACGGTTATACTCTGGATGTTACACTGACCAGTCTTATTTAACAATTATCATTAACAGGGACAGAGTTGTACTCCAGATGTTACACCGACCAGTCTTATTTAACAATTATCATTAACAGGGACAGAGTTGTACTCTGGATGTTACACCAACCAGTCTTATATAACAATTAACAGTAACAGGGACAGAGTTGTACTCTGGATGTTACACCGACCAGTCGTATTTAACAATTATCATTAACAGGGACAGAGTTGTACTCCGGATGTTACATTGACCAGTCTTATTTAACAATTATCAGTAACAGGTATACGGTTATACTCTGGATGTTACACTGACCAGTCTTATTTAACAATTATCATTAACAGGGACAGAGTTGTACTCTGTATGTTACACCGACCAGTCTTATATAACAATTATCAGTAACAGGGCACAGGTGTACTTCAGATGTTACTCAAACCAGTCGTATTTAACAATTATCAGTAACAGGGCACAGGTGTACTCCAGATGTTACACTGACCAGTCTTATTTAACAATTATCAGTAACAGGGACACAGGTGTACTCCAGATGTTACACCGACCAGTCTTATTTAACAATTATCATTAACAGGGACAGAGTTGTACTCCAGATGTTACACCAACTTCCATGATATTTATCAAATGTTTTTTCATGGTTTGAAGGATAATATATAACCTAACTTCCAACATATATATTTTTTCCATTTCAACAAATATAGTATTATCACAACAGAGAACAAATCTTACTTTCTACATTTTATGGTTTACAATTTGACATTTTGAGGTGATAGATAGTGAACATGTAAAAAAGCATCAGAGATAAGATGTGCTATTATTCAGGAAATAAATCAAATAGTTGCTATTTAGAATTAGTACTGTCTTCTTCTTGTAATAACAGAGCAGATGGTGCTGTTACACTTTCGATTTTACTATACTGTATTTTATCTGCTATGCAGGTGAACCAGGGGTTTATGAAGAAAATTCTTCCTGGCTCAGAGGCTTCTAACATTCTAATTGGCGAGGTTGATTTTCTAGAAGAAGAGTTTATGGCTTTTGTTCGTCTTCAGAATGCTACTGACCTAGGTGACCTCACTGAGGTTCCAGTGCCAACACGCTTTCTGTTTGTGATGCTTGGGCCTAAGGGGAATCTTTGGTGTTACCACGAGATTGGGCGTGCTATGGCAACCTTGTTGTCCGATGAGGTATTTCGAAGTTTATATTTTAGATATTTGAATATCTGATAAGGAAGCTACTAATTAATTGATTCATAAATACAATAACAGTAACTCTTGCAGTAGACAAATCCTAATGATTTTAATGATTAGAACGTTTCGAACCACATAAAATTTTACTGAATATAACTGTTACCTAATGAGGATCTGATATTATGTTATGATTAAAATTAGAATTTCTTTAATGTGAAGGTTGCTGTTATTGTACTTTTATTATCTATTCTTAATTTTTATGGCATTTGATTTATGCGTGACATACGCACATGGAATTCTCTGGAATAAGAGAGAATATGATTAATATATACTTGTAACATTCTTCTTTTTTTGAGTGATTCTGTTAAATTATTAGGTCGTATTGAGGCCAAGTCCAGTCTGCATAAATATAGTAAATTAGTTTATTTATTCCTTAACTATGGCTACTATGAGTATCAGTGTTCAAACGGAAATACTTCGCTAATGGTACTAAGACTAACGTAAAAATAAACTTACTTGAACAATTTCACGACCAATCGATCGAGTAACTGAGTATATGTGACAACTAAAACTTATATAAATACATTCATGATGTCAAAAAAACACGTAGGTTAAAAGTCTTAATATAAAACGATAAAAATCCTACAACCCGAGCGCTTTCTAAAGGTGAATATTTCTTCTTTAGGGGCAAACATTGAGTATAATATTCTCAGTTTGCCCCTGAAGAAGAAAAGTCCACCTTTCAAAAGCGCTTGTATTATAGGGTTTTTATCGATACAAATACTTCACTCAGACTACCACCTGAAAATTACTTACTTATTGATTTATAGCTACCTTTTCTAATTGGCTGGCACAATTGTATTTATAACTAAATCTTGTTCTAGGTATTTTTAAATTCCTCGATCATTACATCATCATTACGACCAACAGCTCCCTTTAGAAAACTACCAAGTCACAACACAAAAATATAACTTACAACAACATTGATAAAGTGAGAGGATATTTACAGACATAACAATTATTCATGAAATTCAGGATATTGTTGTAGGTGCCCCATTTGCTCAGTGGTACGTCTGAGGATTCACACCACTAAAAACTGGGTTTCGGTACTCTAAGTGGGCACAGCACAGATAACCCATTGTGTAGCTTTGTGCTTAACAACAAACAAGCCAAACATATTATGCTAGGCATTATTTATTATATCTTAATCCTAAATGTTTGCTAGAGGGAATTTCACGTGATTAGCTTATTAATTAGAATTTTTCTTGAAAGCATGAGTACGATTTGAAAACATCGGCTAGAGTAGTAGTAAAATGTTTTTGATTGATTATTGAGTCTGTGTTATTTCAACAAAGTTCTAAACTACTGGAGACAAGAAAACGCTCTCCTTTCATTAAGTGGTCTGTTTTTTAACATAACATAAGGTTTTGGGACAACATGGGACCTATTGATTTATTTCGGCTGTTCCATCCTCTAAACGAAATTAAAGCCCTCTTAGAAAAATGAAACTGTCTTAGCTGAATATGACTCCTACCTTAGTTCTACTATTCTCACTGTTAAATATGAAAAAAGATGATGCATCAACACTATCAATTCCCTTAACAATCTTAAACACCTCAATCAAATCCCCCCTAACTCTT